CTGCGTTGACGTTGCCTTCCAGTTCGTCCTCCAGTGCCAGATCGTTACACCGCCTCCTCCAAACTGCAATGAAGGGAGCACGAACTGCATTGTATGCATCCGGTAGACTCTTCAGCGTTTGCTATCTCTATACAGAAACGCACTCAGAGTAAACAGCATATAGCAGCGTTCCAGTTGGTTCTCTTCTAGGCGCTCGCTGAACCATATTCTCCAGAGTTGCTGATGGTGGGTTGTTGCCGCAAATCGTCTCAAAGGCGATGTGAGGCCAACTTGATAAAGGCCTTGCCAAAACATCTTGTACTTCATTTAGGACCTGGCGGGCCTGTGGAAATTGCACCGTCTTGCAGCAATGACAATAATCCTGACCTCCCAGTGTCATAATACGCTGAGATCCACTACCAGGCCTCCTGTTGGCACTTCCAGTCTCTCGTTAAAAGCAGGGAGACCACCCTCTGAGAAACGCCAACTCCTCTGTGATATCCACTTGCCATTGAATATAACGGACTGCGTTGTTGTTGCTTGATGGAAAAATGGAAAAATTGTTGAATTAAACCCTTTTATTTTGTTATTTTTCACAATCCGTTTATTAAATTTTCCTTTTGCTAAAAAACATAATTGCTAATAAATTTTAAGCAACCTTGATGACTCATTCTCAAAATAATATTGCGAACTTCTCGTTCAAGATGATGTCTTTCCATGGTTAAAGAGAATACAACTGGATTAAAATGGTGAAAAGACGAAAAAGGTGTTTGTTTATAAAATAAGTATTCTTCATGTTTACTATTCTTAAGTAAATCCATTAATTTACAGGACATTTGTAAGAGAATTAACATTAGTTTGTTTTTGGTTGTATTTTCTATTTGTTTTATCCAACTCACAAGAATATATTGGTTAATTTAATTAAAATCAATAGAACAAGAATAAATTACAAATATCCCTATTCATTTTTGAGCAGTTTCTTGGATGTGAACTTTTTCCGTACCGAATGCATTCAGGACTTCTTGGTTGGCTGATTTTATGAACTTTTTTTGTTAGTGTAACCTCTTTTATGATTTGCTATGTCACAAGCATGTATTTCATCTTGAAAAGTTTTTAGTGAGGTTTTTGTGCCCAATTTATTCAATACATTGATAATTTTGTAAACTTCTTTCTCTCTGTATGTAAACGTTGTCAATTTAATGTATGGTTTTCCTGTGTAATTGTTGTTGGGTCTTTTGATTAGTTAAGTTTGTTTAGTTTTGATTGAAATTCCTTGGGCTAGGCCGTAATTCGAACCCAGAACCGCTAGCGTGGTAAATACGAGTCTGGCGTCCTTATCACTTACTGCGATCCCCACTTGCCTATTTTTACATGCAATATAATAATTTATGATTCTACGGATAAAAAAATTAATATTCATAAGTGAGGGAAGCGTAACTTCTACGTGTGTGTGCATTTTGCCAAGAGCGTACTTTGACCTTTCGCCCACGTCCGGAACTGTCTTGATAGTTGAAAAATTTATTTTATCAGTTGGTATCTATTAAATGGGTAAAATCCTTTCTTTGCAGAATCACTTTACTGCAAATTGAAAATGCAATGGAAGAACAGGAACAACAAACCGTAAAGATCGGAAAAGAAATCATTTAGATATAATTAAAGAAGTCAGTTCAAAATTAAATATTCTGATCATGGGAAGTTCGTCTTTTAATATCTTGCCACTCCTATGAGAAAAAATTGTTTGTTGATCAGCCCTGCAAAAGAATCGTGAACCCAAATCAATGCTACTAGTGTTTCCAATAAGAAATTGCAGTTATCAAAATCAACTTCCTACTAACGTTTATATAAAAAAGGATCAAAAACATATTTTCAGTTTTTTTTCTCGCTATATTGTATAATGTGAAAGTGGATTACACCTATACAACAATCCGGTAGCAAACCAGCAGATTTTTTTAAAATAAAGACCCTGACAGGCAAAAAATTCCCCCCAATTGATTGTTTATCGTTTTCTCGATGAAAATTCTGCCCTTAATTTGTCTCATTATTTTCACTAAAAATTATTTGTTTATGCTATGTTTTAAATGTGGAATATCTATTAGAGGTAAATACCCTTAATTCTTTGTCCAAAACGTGTAAAGGATTTTTCCATGTTTACTTTTTACAGAATTTAAAATGTTTTTCAGTCTCATTTGAAAACTGAAGCAATAAACTGTTTGGTTTTCTTCTTTTAAATTTTTAAACTGAAAAATGCCACTTAATACTGGGGATGTTGCGCGTGGTGTGGCACTTATTATTGATGATGGACGTTCCATCAGGTATGCGGCTATTGCTATAGGAGTTCCCTATGAAACACTCAAAGTGCTGTTAGACGTTTTCCAGCAATTGGGTCCTACCATAGAAGGCCCAGTTCTGGACGCCGTAGAGTAAGCCATGACCATTTTTTGACTTTGCGAAACCGGCACCTTACTGGTGCTCAAGCGATTCATCAGCTCCAGGAAGTTGGAGGTGTCCAAATTTCTGAACGCACTGCTCGCAGAAGATTAAATCATGGACTGATTGCTTTTTGTCCCGTAAGAGGACCAAAGATGACCAAAACACACAGAGTTGCACGGCTCGCATTTGCTCGAGAACACAGCCATCGATCTTCGGACGATTGGTCTGTACTTTTTACATATGAGTGTGATTTGCTCTACGATGGGCGTGAAAGACAGTGGAGATGGCGAAATGAAAGATACGAAGCTTGTAATTTTTCTCGGAGCCAATCTTGGTTATAGCTCAATGATGGTGTGGGCGGGAATCTCAATGGAGAGTCACAAGGAGTTGGCTCAGTTGTGAAGGGCTTTTGACGGCCAATCGTTTTGTGGATGAAATTTTGGAACATCGTGCATCGTGTGGAACATCTTTCCTCAATGAAAGCAGCGACAATCCTATTCATGTGGCTAGCATAGTCCAAACATCAAGGTCTTAACCTGGCCAGCCCGTTCTCCAGACTTGAACCCCATCCATCATTTATGGGATAACCTCAACAGACGAATAAGAGCACGTCCATCGCTTCCTGATACGCTCCACGATCTTGAAAGAACTATTCGTGAAGATCGGGCTAACTTCCAGCAAAGAGCCATTTCCTGACTGGTAGAAAGTATGCCGGGGCGTCTTCGAGATGTAATCAAGGCAAGAGGAGGAAATGCGCGATACTGAAATGTCCATCTTATTTTTTCATTTTCCTTAGCAATTTATTTATTTTTTGCTATTTTAGACTCGAAACGTTAAAAAATGTTAACTTTGATTAGTATATAAAAATATATACAATTCAAGTTGTACACACCACCACACCAGACCGCGTCTCACGATCTTCAAATAATTATATTACAAGTGGGTGGAATTTTTTGCCTGTGTGTGGGTGTACATATATATATTTTAAAATTTATAATAATGTTTTGTTGAAAAGCAGTCCACGTGTGTAGTTTTTGCAGCATAAAGGGTTTTGAGAGCATAGATAATCCTTATCTGAAAATCCTTGAGTCACGCCAACTTCGCAACAAAACGAGTGAAACGGTATAATTCCATTTGCCATTTCTGTAATCTTCGGCGGATTCCCGGAACGTTTGGAACTTCGCTATGGTCGGCACATTAGCTAATTGCCACACAGACACCAGAAATAAATGTTTTTTTTTTCTTTTTTTTCATTGGCCTTGGGTTGCATGTTACACATATGATATCAATCCGAGGCAGAGAATACAGCTGTATGAAATTTCATCCATCGATTTACTAAATTTTGCTGCTTTTGAAAACAATTGGGATTCGTTTTAGGCACCTATAAAACCCTTAAATTACACACGTTTTCATTGCAATAAAAAAAATTACATTTTTTAACTGGATTCGCCAGGGCAATGTTTTTGCTAATTTCCTGTGTTTCCACCTAAAAATTCATAATTCTTTTAAATTTTATCCAAATTCAGTGTTATTAAAACCGTTGGTGACAGATATAAGGATGAAATAAAAAATTTTACGTTTTATTTTATATCTCCGGTTCTGATTTATTAACGAAGGCTTTTTCCTGTAGTTTATAGCAGTCTAAAATAATTTCAAATTCCCAGTTATCAGTAGCGTCTTTTCAAAGTTATCACCATTTTAGTGATTTTCGGAGAATGGTCGGAGGCATTTTGAAGGCGAAAAATACTAGGATTTTTCTATTTGTCTAGGGCTGTCTATGTCTTTTCAAAGTTGCCAAAAGTGGAATAAAAAGTTTATGGATTTGTCTAAAAATTGTATTCAGTGGTTATTTCAGGTCAGCCTCCCCTTGTGAGTTGTCCTTAATTAAGGAATAGGCCTCGTCCTCTGCCGTAAAACCTTATGACATAATTTTTAATTTGTTCATCATTGCTCATTGTTGTATTGCTTCTTTGGGAAAATTATTACGATATAATTGTAAATAAACTCGTCTAAAGGGATTGTAAATTAAGGCTGACCTGTACTTTAAAAGGATTGAGTCAGTTGATTGACTTTCTGGAAAGAATACCCCTTGCCTGTTCAGCTGTTATCTTGTAAACTCAGCTGAATTTTTCTTAAGGGTAAAACTTGATTAGTTAAAACAGAAAATAATTTTTGGCTTAAAACGAGAAAACAATTTCCGTTATCAATCGCAGTCAAGACAATCTTGTATCAAAATTAAGAAGAAAAAAATGCCATAAACAACTCTTTCCTTAAATAAAAATATAAAAATGGTTTGGTAATCATTTTCAAGAAATTCTATCTTATTTTTTGTTCTTATCTTTTCTCTTTTTCAAAGGGCCTCGTGTAAGAATAAAAGTTATCGTTTTAGAATCAACAGGAGTTTCTTGACCCCCGTAACATGATAGGGAACCATAATAAGTAATTATCACCAAATCTTTACAGAGGTTTTTTTTTCCACTGTTGTCTTGTAGGATGAAAAATATAGGCAATTTTGCAATATCACAAAACAGTAGAATTTATCCAAGGGTTTCAATATTTATTTTTAACCAATTGTAATCATTTTTTTTTAGCTTAACATCAAAAAATTGTACAACAGCGATTACGATCCTCAAATCGAAAGTGAAGTTTTGAATCGTGACAATTGTGTTCGTGTTTCTTGTAGAAGGCCATCATCCAAAAACAACGTAGAATAACATCAAAAAACTACTGGTAATATAAATTTATCGTTTATCGTTCCTCATTAGCAGATATCCTCCCAAAAAGGATACAATTAAATTAATATCAATATTTTAATGAGTAAACAGATGAGAAAGAGTAGATAATGGGAGAAAGATAACGAGACATACAGTAAAAAAGAACAGAGATGGATGGATCGATAGAGAGATAGAGAGAGAGAAAAAAAATGTGTGAGAAATTATAGGTGATAGAGATTACGCGTCAGTGAGAGAGAGGGAAAAAGAAAGACAAAAGGAGGAACTGAGTAAAATTAAATAGCTTATAGCGAGAGGTAATGAGTAAATGTGAAAGAAGAAAGAGTAAAGGTAAATGAGAGGGATGGTGATAGAGAGATAATGCATGAGCGGGAAAGGGACAGTGAGAGTGAAAGAAAGAGAGAGCTTAAAGAATGTGGAGGACAGGAGTAAAAGGAAAGGGAGAGGGATGGGATAAGAAAATGAAGAAAAGAGAACGAAAAAGGTTGTAAGATCTACAGAAGCCGATAGAACACCCATCTTTTCGTTCACCCTTTTTCTATCTCTTTCTCTTAGTTTCTCTTTCATCCTCTCTCTATTATCTATCGCATTTTCTATTAATAAAAAAAAAAGTAAAATAGGAACTGTTACCTTTAAACATTTGAAGAAACAACTCATTAACGCTTTTTTGTTTATTGACTAAACTATAAAGATTAAGTACAAGTATTTGAATTGTAGACTTTATATAATAAAGAAAACTTTAGAAAGCAGTAAAATATCTTATCATAACTTAAAATATATCAGTACTTACGTGATTGAAATTGAAAGCTATTTATATTTGGAAATGTGCATGCATTCGACACTGTACTGTTGTTTTTCTAAAAAAATACTGAATAATTGATAACAGAATTATTGTACCTATCACTATAATGATTTAATTTAACCATCCAGACAAGCGATAAGGTCCTTGAGATTTATTGGTATTTTTACGTTTCAACCGACCTGAAACCCGATTGAAACGTCGAATCCGGTCTGTTTGGCTTCTCGCCGATGAAACCAAACGCTAAGGGGGTAAAAAAGTTTAACAAGAAACCCCGGAAAAGCCATCTGGCAAATGGCAGATGGAGAAATTCCAGAGGGTGTACCTTTTCAGACAGGCCCGAGGTTTATTGCACAAACAAAGGACGAATAGCGGTCCTACTTTACAAGGAATACAAAGAACGTTTTATTTGGATATTGACCCTGAGTGATCCCTCGAATCCGAGTCCATCTAGTCGGAAATGATTCGGCATAACGGGCACATTTTTATGATTCAGGAAAACTAGAAACCACTCCCGGTGGGAGTTTGTTCCTCAAACATTTATCAAAAATTTTCATGACGTTAAAGACATGGATCTTAGCAATAATTAATATCTACTTGACAGTACTTAATGTTTAATTATATTCAATTGCTTAATTATTCCGAAGAATATAAGAATAAACTGTCTTTACTAATTGATTTGATGCTGATAGGGAGATGTCGGGAAATAAATAGAAAAATGGAACAAATACAAACAGACCGCGGGGGTCGAGTGGTAGGGTGACTTTTTATTTGCCACGCCAGCGGTTCTGAGTTCGAATCCAATCATACCCCCTGGAATTTGATTTGAGAATCATTTAGAAAAAGTATTGTATAGAAGTTATGACATCCAAGAGGTATTTAGACGTGCACAATACTCATACAAAAGTTTGAAAGAAACAAAATAATAGTTGAAGATAATCAAGTTGGTGATGATGAAAAGGAACTAGGAAGGAGGGATAGTAGTCCTCAAGCGCTGCAGCCTTTGGCTTATTGTATATTTCTCTAGCCCCTTAGTATAGTTCAATTGACTAGCTCCTAAGAGTAAGAAGTCATTGACTGTCATTATAGCACATAAATATGCAATGCGCCAGCAGACAGACGGCGGGTGCTCGACCAGTAGCACAGATAGGTTATGGTGCCAGATCCTGTCTGCAAAGACGGGGAGGGTGCATCGGGTTGCGCAGATTAACAAGTTCCAAGCCCGGTAGCGCGCTACATGGCCCACTGAGACAGAGTAGAGTCTGTTGTTTGGTGGTGCACTCATCGGGTTTACTTTACCGAAGGCAGTGTTCTAAGGGGTGGTTAGAAATTCCACTATTAACAAAACTGCAACCGGAGCGGATCCGACGGTTCCGAAGCTAGTGAGGCCCCAACACTCTGAGAGATACAGTTACCTTCTCTATCTAGATGGTATAGCAGGTTAGTCAACTGATGCATTTCAGTACCAAGTGAGCGGCTTTCCAATGGCTATGCGGCATATGATCGGGTGCATAGATGGCGACCCCCTCGGAAGGGGCCATCGGGAGAAGTCACCTTAGTATCTGTATGAGTGGCTTCTACACCAAACCTCACAGGATTAACATGCACCACTTATGAGCGGAGATGTGTAACTCCTATCTTGAGAATAACCTGTTATAAGGCCGTGCCAGGTGCGCACGATAAAGAACCTCATTATCCTTCTGATGACATTGCGACCCCAAATGGGAAATAAAATCATTGCAGTACTTATTTTTCCTAAGTCGTCTTGGTACCCTAGGTTATACTGCTATGTTAACTACTGGTTCGCAGTCGAAGATTATTTGGGTAGCTGTTTCTTCCTCTCATTGCATAACATAAATGAGGTCATGGTTGAATATACCCATATGATGTAGGTGTTTTCTGAGATGTAAGTGACCGTTATATAGCTATACCACACTCTTCCAATTTTACCCTGCCTAACAGTAGCAAGCGTTTGCCAGTTTTAAGACGGTTCTTAAACCATGAGATGTGTTTGACACTTCGTCCATTTCACCTTTGGTGGACCAGTATAGAGAAGTCTACCTTTTCAAAAGATATAAGATAGAGACATAAGATGGAGATGTTTATGTTTGACCTTGTTATCCTAATTATATGCTGTGAGAGTACAGTTGTTCTTGGAGATCTTCCTCTTGCCAGTTTGTTTGTTCGTTCTTTATCCAAAATTCCTTTGAATCCTGGCACCCAACATATTGCCAATTATTTTGGAAGTCATAGGTCATTGTTTGCTAATTATATTTAGGGCCGCTTAGCTATCTGATTCATCAGCGTAACTTTTATGTATTTTCTAGGCTTTCGAAAGATGACAGTTTTCCTCCTCAATGTATAGCCCAAATTTGGAGTCATCATTGAATATACCTGTAGTGTAGCTGTTTTTCAGATTACTCTTCTGAGTTTCGCCCTGTTTAACTGTTCTACAAGTTTTATATTTACCACTTTACATGAGGGTTCTTTAATTGTATGCTTAGTATATCTGGTACCTGTAGATATCATCGCTTTATCCTTTTCTTCTGTGTGAACCTAGTCTGAGATACAGGAATCTAACTCAGATCTATGTTACTCAAGTTATAGGTTCTGGGCCTATGGCCTTGCTTACAAATCGTCCTTTGGCCGGTTGTCGCTTCTTCATTACCCAGAATTGCTTTTACCCTGGCACCGAGGATATCGTCAGATTTTTGCAAGTCTGTCGGATCTTATGATAATCTTTTGTCAGTGAAACCTTATGATTTTCTGGCACCAGCATTGATAGCATTTTTTTTGCTTGAAAGGCCGAGGTGTGCGTCCTGATGAGTTGGATTGTTTGTATTTTAGCCTTAATCATTATTATTAGAGAGAGAGAGAGAGAGAGTAGCGATTGATTTATCAGGGAGAATGCGTAATGTGTGCGGAAGAAAAGATAAAAACCAATTAACGCGTGGTTGTTTAGTCACGAAATCGTTAAAAGCTTTTCCCCAAAGCTGGCATGTTTTAAATATCCTTGGTTTGATGAACTGGATAGCAGATTTCCACTGGATTTGTACGATCCCACAGTGGCTTCCGTTAAAATTTCATTCTGCAATCAATATAAGCTATGAAATTCTTAGGTGAGAAACACTGACAGTTAAGGAAGATGTATTTTCAAAATCCTGTTGACAAAATTTAAAAATGCTTGTTACTTTTATTTTATATGATTGTAATATCGTATTTCAATCGAACTTCTCGATTTGCACGAGACATCTAGAAACATTGAGATAAGGAGACGTTTTAAATCTGAAAAACATAATTATCAACGTCCTTATCTCGAGTGAAAAAAAACCCTATTTTTGTCAGTTCCTTTAAACAATCGTCTGATACAAACTATCATTTCTTTAAACAATAAAAGATCTTATATGGACTTGTAGAAAAACATCCACTATTCTAGCATTATTTCTCTGTAGTGAAGGAAATTATACTTACGTATTTAAGGAAATCACGCCCTCTTTTGATAGATTTATAGTTAGACTATTAAAATATGTTGTATCGTTAGATTGACATCATTCCGAACCCTTTCAATATGTAAGGATTATAAAAGGTTCTTTTCACCCAAACTGATTCGTAAAAATGTCAACAATTTGATGTATAAGAAGGCATCCCTTCAAAAACCAACGATTTTTGATTTGCGAATTCAGTATAGAAATATACACAAAAATGCCAGCTGTGTTAAAAAAAAAAAAAACTCATAGGGGACTGTAGGAAGCCGGACATCCGCTCTTGAATAGAAATTACTGCAATTACCGTGACCAGCTTGCCGTTGGGCAACTGTCTAGACAATGGGCTGTATCGTTTCGCCTTTTGCCGAGACTTTCGAGATTTCAAGAGCTACAACTTGAAAGTTATATTCAAATCTGAAGACCTGATTCGATTTACATGGTGATAAGTTTATTAGTGGGTTCGACAAAGCAAGACAGACCAATGTGTACTACTTTTTCTAAAGATGGGCAGGACCCACTCACCTACTCGGTTAGACTAATCGAGTTATTTACGACTAAGCTCATTAACTTCTATTTTCCTCATTCGTCCGACTCTCATTCAAAGAGGTAATACAATTATTTATTTAAAATGAAATTGTTATGATTTCCAATCAAAACATTAGTGTTTGGGCTTTACTAGGCGATTGCAGCAAAACTCGAACCATTCTAAATGAT